AAGTATAGAGTAGGGTTATTGGCCACTCGTGAGCTAGAGCATCCACCCCCAGTGGAGCTTCCGGATTGTGCAGGGAGTAAAACAGGGGACAGTGAGCAGTCTCCCCAGATGCATAAATGTCCACGGTCGCCTGACTGAATCGCAGCCAGATCTTCTTCACCACCTCTGGGTAAAGCTTCCAGTCTCTGTACAGTGGGTTGCCCCTGGAGAGAAGATTCCCAGCATGTGAGTTGCTCTCACTGACAGCTGGTGAACACTGCTCCACACTATCAGTCTGTGTGCCAGTGTATGTAACTTGGGGGACCCCAGAACCCCCTGTCTGATGATGTAGGCCACAACCATGGAATTGTCCTCACTAAAACATGATGGCCCCCTCAGCCAAGGGAGAAACTGTTTTAGCGACCGGTGAACTGCCATGAGTTTCAGACAGTTTATGTGGGTAGAGCACATGTGAGGGCCCCATCCCCTGTTTACTGCTTTGCTTTTGTGGGCGGCCCCCCAGCACAAAAGAGAGGCATCTGTGGAGATCACCTTCTTGGCTGAAACTGCCCCTGAGACAGGAAACCTGGTTTCTTCTACTTGTGGAGAGCGTGTGACATGTATTTCCTTAAATGCTGGTTCAGGACACGGAATCCAATGTCCTCAACACCCATGCTGACTAAGTACAGGTAGCCCAGCTCTTTATTCGGAGAGACAGAAGGCTCACTGGCCACTTCACCGATGATAGCGTGTTGGCATCCCCTTGTGGTTGCCGCGCGAAATATACGCCATCCCAGTTTCCCATCACCTCCCTTACCTGTGACAGAGGTGATGGGCTCGTCTGCATTATCATAACCGTGGAAACCCGAGTTTCCATATGCTGTGTTATTGCAGACAGCATTGCTCTGTTTTTCAGCATGTTTGATTTTTTTCATGTGTTTACATCACTTGACAGCGCCCTTGGCAAACTGCCTGGATATGCGTGTCGGGAACTTTTTAATACAGAATGCATGAGAGAAACGCTTGTGAAACAACACTGCAAACTTTGGCTCTGTTTCCCTCTTGCGGGTCCAGTGACAGGAACGCTGGCCTGAGTTATGCACTCTGTGTCGAACATGTCTTGAACTTGCTCTGAAACAGAGCTGTGTGGAGGCAAAGCAGCCTGTGAAGGGGGGAAAGCTGGGCTAGCTCTCCCCTAGAGGAGAGGCCGTCAGGCAGGCCACTTCTTCTTCCTACTGGTCGCAACAGCATGAGGAGGAGGGGCCACTTGAGGTCTGGCCTGGGGAGACTGCTTCCTAGTCCAAGGATTCTGTGATATCCTGAAACTAAGGAACCACAGAGACCATGTTGACCTCACAGTCACTTCTTTATTTATCAAACTGGGGCATGCGCAACAAATAAACTGGCACTGCTCTCCAACAACTGTTGCCCCGTGGAGGACAAATCCCTGCTACATTATAACATTCCTCCCACCTTAAACTGAAACTACCCTGTAGCTTTAATTACTACACAAAATACCCATTAAGAAAAACTTAACCTTTATTAAAATGTAACACAACCTCCTTCCCAGCCTTTACTTAAATTTCACTCGCTAAATAATTAACCAATCCAACAGTCTTAGGTTATTCCTATAGTCTAATAGTCTATAACAGTTTAACATTACCACGTAGGAAACAGGCTCCATCATTTCCTGTCCTGGTATCCATTTGGGTCCCCCGCCATAGTTTCTGGTATATACTGTGTCTCCAATAACAAACATGCACTCCTTGGCATGTCTATGATGACACAGTCTTTGGCTATCCTGTTTTGTTGTCACTTTCTGTTTCAAGTCGAGGTGTTTGAGATCAAGTGTACACCTCAACTTCCTGCCCATCATCAACTCAGCGGGAGACTTCCCTGTTTTGGACGTTGGTGTGATTCAGTAACTATACAGAGCCCTGTTTAACTTGATTGCCACTGTGTCTCCAGTACTCTTTTTCATAAGTTCTTTGAAAGTTTGTGCCGCCCTTTCTGCTAACCCATTGAATGCTGGGTGATATGGAGCAGAGTTGACATGTGTGATGCCGTTCTTTGCCATGAACTCTTTAGTTTGTGCACTTACGAAACACTGGGCATTGTCTGAGACCATTATTTCAGGAAGGCCATGTCGTGTGTACTGAAACAGTTTTTCAAGCAGTCAATGGTTGCAGCTAATACAGCTGATGCCACTGAATACACATCTAACCATTTGGAGTGGGCATCCACTATTATTAAGAACATCTTACCCAAAAAAAGAGCCAGCATAATTTATATTTATTCTCCTCCATGGCTTCTCCGGCCACTCCCAGGGGTGTAGTGGTGCCTCTTGAGGGCTGTGTCTATGTTCTTGACGTACCGCAGGATTTCACCTTGTCTTCAAGTCAGTCTCCATCTGTGGCGACCATATGTAGCTTCTGACCAAGCCATTCATGTGGCTCATTCCCAGGTGTGGATGATGTAGCTGTTCCAACAGGGGGCATCGACCTCATTGTGGTATCACCACCCTAGCCCCCCACACCACACACCCATCCTACACACTCAGCTACTGTTGTCTCTGTCTGTAGGGCTTAAAATTAGGATGCTGTGTTATGGGCCATTCTCTCAGAACATTCTCATGCACTCGGGAGAGTATGGGATCTTTGGTTGTCCACCTTTGTAGCTGCTCAGATGTCATCACCACCCTGCTGCCAGCTCTTTAGGGGAGTTCTCTGGATGAGGAAGACTACTCAGTCCATCACGGCCAGGTAGGAGTGGCTGTGAAATTGAACAGCCTTCTAGCCGTCGTTCAAGTCCGCCCTTCTGCGTTTTTCTGGTCGCTGGCGCCACAGCACGAAAACTTTAAAATGGACACAGAAATGTTCCCCTGTTTTTTTGTACGTTTTTAATTTTCGAGAAGCTAGAAAAACTTTATCATTGTCGCTGGCACGTCTTGTACCTTAGGCTCATCAGACACGATCATACCCAGGTAAAATTATTTCCCTTCATCTACACACATTTAGGAATTACTTAGCTAGTTTCAATTATTACCAGTCATTCGTGCACATATATTGTATTATAAAAAATATATAAAGTAAATCTCTTTGAAACTTATGGAATTAATCTTTTGTTTTCTTTTTTTTACATGGCACTTTATCAAACTTTTGTCTGCTACAGAGTTACAAGTAATATAGTAGTAGTAATATAGCATATAGGAGAGAGGGAATTAGGACAGGAGGCCTAATAGATAGCCTCTGTCCTATCACCTCATCCATGGGGGCAAACCAGGGCCAAGTTGCAATCCCAATCACTCCCTCTCCTGACCCTGGATACTTGCAATCCTAAAGGCAGAGGAAATAAAAAAAAATACAGTAGGCAAATAAAAACAACACAAAAACTCTTAGTAATTGCACATTTATTAACTTGTGTTCTTAAGAATAATCTTCGTGATAACACACATACATACTTTGTATATTTTTTTAAGCTATCTCATTTCTTTCCGGCCTACAAGGGGGTCACTTTCTCCTGCAGGGCCACCTTCTCCAGAATTGTCCTGATCACATAACAAATAAGAGAAGAGAGTGAACCATGGCAACTTATTTTAATCCCTAAACATAGTTGTGGGCTCTTACAGTCAGAGCCGCTGCCTTGTAACACTTATCCGTAAGGCTAGAATGGAAGCGGTCTGCCTTGGAGGGGAGAGACGTCTTTGGGTGAAGATGGCTCGCTACAGCTCCACTTGTGGCATCTGGTGGAGGCCGATAAACTCCATCCCCTCAATCCAACAGCAGGGAGCTCCCTGCGATGCGGTGTTTCTCGCTGTAAGGTTTTGCTTTCCACGTCACTGCTATCTCATTGAGTAGCTCCGGGAAAACAGGCAAAATCTTACGAGATTTTACAACCTCGATTTGTACAGCGGGCCATGGGATGTTGAGCCTAGAAGCTGTGCGCTTGCACATGACCTGCATGTCGAGATCCAAGAGAGACTTCCTCCTCGTAGTCATACACCAGGAGCTCTGAGTCAGCCGACTCCTCATCTCCATCCTCGTTATCTTCTCCTCCCCAGGTGACTCCAGCATGGGGGAAAAGCTCACATTCTCCGATGGGCTGAGGGTCTGCTCCTGCCCAGCCTGGGCCTGGGGTTGCAGCCAAATCATCAGGCATCTCAATTTCTCCTTGCGCCGCAGCAGCCTCAAAAAACAGAAGGGTCGCCACCCAACAGGTTAGCCTGTCAGAGTAGTTTGCGTGAGAAAGCCACGCAGTGGATACAGTCTTGTGTGGATGTCAAGGCAGCCTGAGTGCCTTTGTCCATGTTACTTTATTTCCATACATTGGTATGTCCATAAGTTTGTCCAGCAGCTTTGGTTTCCCTGATACTTTTTAACTTCAAACTACTGTAACAGAGTTTCCTTTTGAGTGGGCGAAGAAAGTGCAGCCTGGAATCCACATTTTTTTTTCTATTTAGGCTATATAATCATCACTGTGCACAGTGGTGGGGCAGTCAATGCAAGTAACTAAAAAGTATTTTAAAGGTAAATGCCTGAAATCAGAGACCAGGTCCTCGCTCTTTCTCATAAATCAGACACTCTGTATTGTAATGTGCTTATTTGCATCCATTTTTGCATCACATGTCGGCATCAGACCTATGCAGATCGGTCTGGTTATCCACCTACATTTTCTGCTGAATATATTTGCTATCATTATGTATCATCAACCAACTTTTTGCATCATTTCTCTCTTTGCTGTGCTGCTATCTTTCTGCATCACGGTTTCCCTTCCATTTCCCTTCCATTTCTCTGACATTGTCTCTCTGTCACTTCTCGTTTTTCCTCAAAATACCCTGGGGCAGTTTTCTTCATGCCCAACATGCAAACTAAAACCGTCAGGTGAGAGAATGTAACTTTTTCTAAGCGACGCTCCGCCTATCTCCCTCTGGTTCCTTGTGTTTACCAGCAAGGCCACACCTCAAAGCCAGCCCCCTCTAAAGGTCTAGATGTAACCAAGTCAGTGAGCATTGAGGCAACAGCAGCTGATACATCACATTCATACATTTATGGTGCTCCCTGTGTCCAGGGTAAGGTGCTTTATATGTCTATATTTGCGCAAATTAATGGATCAAGGAAACAGGTGTTTCGTAGCCCATTTGCTGAGTTCTGTTTTAAATTCAGACTAATACAAGAAAGGATGAGGACAAAAATATAGTAGTAGGAAAGCAGTGGCCTGGCGAAATAAAAAGGGCACAAGTCTCACTCATTCGGTTCTTGTTGTATCATGTGCCAAGAGAACCACGTTATAATAAAATCAATTGGAAAAGAGAAATTAAAAAAGAATATTAACAGAAAAATGGATTAAATAAATGTTTTCAACCGCTTTCTAAAGGAGTCCACAGAGTGAGCGAAACAGAGTTAGAGAGGTAAAGTGGCAACTTGCTCAACCTGTAGAGCAAGTTGTATTCAAACATCTGTGGCAGTGCCAGAATAGTCTGAATTATATTGGTTCATGTGTCACACTGCAGCCATAGTGTAATCTTTGTTATGTTTATGGATGTTAATTTATCCTAGTCTCTTTAAGACATTTAATTAAGATAGGGACAACCTGAGAAAGCTGTCTGCATTGTCACGATGAAGTGAAAGAGAAACATATGCAAAAAGATAGATAGATAAGAGAGAGGGCAACATTGCATCTAAAGCAAACGGAAAAACAAGTTGTGGTCACCTCCCTTTAGGCAAGATATGCTCTTCTCTCTGAGGTTTTGTTTATTCACTGAGAATCACTGCAGTCTGTGTTTGTATTTTGTATGAACAAAAATCACATGCCTTTTACATTTGTGAATAGCAATGAATAGCAACTGCACGATGGTAGTAGGCTGTGTGTTTATAAATCCTTTAAGCATCTGTAGCTGTTTTTTTAAGATGATGCCAGAAGATTTCCTTTAAGAATCATAGACAGACAGAGACAGAGATTAAAAAAGAAAAGCAAAAGAATAATGAGCAATAACCATGACATATTTGACATAACAGCTGACATATTTGCAGTCGCAATGGCTTAATTCGTGAGACTTCATATTTAACTCATCAGTAATTAAGAATAGCTTACATGTTTGTAATTGTTAGTTTTGGGGAACATTACTAGAAAAAAACTGCAGTGGCTTCGTAGTTGCTGTTGTAGAAATACTCCAAGAAACGCACTCATACACAGTTTGGCACACACATGACAAACATCAGCCACTAAATGTACAGGATGAGTGCTGTGAGTTGACAAGATAAAAAAATTAAAATACTGAAATCTTTAAAGGCACACTCCATGTCAAGTTTTTTGTTTGCTATGACTTCTGAGCCATTATGTCAGCTTGAACTCACTACTAAGCTTAATACATCTATTATATTCATCCCAAAACATCTTTGAAATATGTATCTAACTAGATATAACCAGATACACTGGATGGCATTGCATTGGCCTCCAGAGACCCTGTCTCAGAGTGAAACTGAAAGTTCATGCTGGACTACTGCAAATCGTTATTATCAGGATGTTCAAAGAATTCCATGAAGAGTCATCAGTTGATTCAAAATGCTACAACAAGAACACTGACAGGGACTAAATGATAGCATATTTCTCTAACTTCGGCTTCTATTCATTGGCTCCCTGTTAAATCCAGAATTAAATTTAAGATCCTTCTCTTCACATACTAGGTCTTGAAAAATCAGGCCACGTCTTATCTGAAAGATCTCATACTACCATATCACCTCAATAGAATAGAGAAGTTCACTCTCAGACTGCAGGCTTACTTCTGGTTCCTTGGGTATTTAAAAGTAAAATGGGAAGTAGAGCCTTTAGCTATCAGGGCTCTTCTTCCCCTCTTCTGTGGAACCAGCTCCAAAACTCACAGACACTGCTGAAGAACTTCCCATGATGCTCTGAATTTTACTTCTTCACTCATCTACTTCACTCACCATGTGTTTATACACCTCTCTGCATTTAATCATTAGTTATTATTAATCACTGGCTCCCTTCCACATTGAGCATTTTATTTCTGGAGGGTTCGTCCTCCCCACTGTCGCCTAAGCAGTTGTTCAAATAGGTCATATGATTGTAGGGGTTTCCTCTGTATTATTGTAGGGTCTTTACCTTACTGTGCACCTGTTGTTGTTATTTAGCACTAAATGAATAAAACAGAATTGTGTGTGTGTGTGTGTGTGTGTGTGTGTGTGTGTGTGTGTGTGTGTGTGTGTGTGTGTGTCATGCATATGATCTCATTGTATATAGCTAAACACTACAGTCTCAGTCAGTACTTGAAGTTAATATTTTCTTTCTATCTTTATTTAGGACATTAACTTAAATTAGAGGCTTTTATTATATTTAACTTTTTGGACCAGGACTTTACAAACCACTGACTGGCATCATACTGCTTCAAGTATTTTAACTACAAAGATTCTTCTAACATATTTTCTTGTTTCATTGCTCAGGTTTGGATCAGGAACTTCATTCCACCTGATCTCTTCAGGAGGTCAAACATACTCCTCAAATTTCTGTCCCCTTGTCCCCCTCCAAGACAGCAGTCATGAATTGGAATTGGCTGGAGGACCTCATCAGTGGGGTCAACAATTACTCCACAGTGTTTGGTCGGGTCTGGCTCTCAGTGGTCTTCATCTTCCGGGTGATGGTGTTTGTGGTGGCGGCTCAGCGAGTGTGGGGTGAAGAGAGCAAAGATTTTGAATGCAACACTAAACAGCCAGGCTGCACCAACGTGTGCTACGACCACTTCTTCCCCATCTCCCACATCCGCCTGTGGGCCCTGCAGCTCATCTTCGTCACATGCCCGTCGCTGATGGTTGTTGCCCATGTCAAATATCGAGAGATGAAGGACTTAAAGTACACCACCACCCATGAGGGTAAACACGTGTATGCCCGCCCTGGGAAGAAACGTGGAGGGCTGTGGTGGACATACCTGGTAAGAATGAAGGGTGCTAATGTTTAATTCCACTGTTATTGTGTATGCCACACATGGAAGGAGATTTGCAATTATAATGTATGAGCAACAAGCTCCACCAAACTGATGTGAAGTTGTGTGACTTTGCAAGAGTGGTCTACGATAATGCAAATTTTGGTATCTATCAATATCAAGTATTGCAAAGACATTCAGATATTTTTCACAGTGTATGTCTGATGTATTTTTTTATTTCTAAATATATATATACTGAACTTAGAGGATAGAAACAAAGTACAGATCATATCACCCTAGTATCGATCTGATACTGAAAGAAACTCTATTTTAAGTGGTTCTATGCTTTCAAGGCTTCCTTTAAACAGCCATATAATATATCCCTACAGTGGAATGTGGGACTATTATGTCTGTAACATGGTGTCTTTTTTCTTGTCTTTAATTTCACTTTCATTTGCTGTTTAGAAACGTCTCTACCAAGTGTTCACTTTTGTTTTGACTGATTTTGGTAAATATCAGGAATTTTCATTATATAGTTTATAGAAGGTTGAAGAATCCTCATTTATGTTCCAATTTTTTCATAGGGTCATTTATTTATTTATTTTTTTAAACTAATTAATCGTCATAACAAGAGCTTAGACAAATGGTTGGGATAAGTTACAGCAATTAGTGAACATTTAAAATTAATTCTGTCAAACACAGTCATTAGCAATCCATGAGATTTTTCCTACTTTAACACTCATTTGTCTTCTTATAGGTGAGCCTGATCTTAAAGGCAAGCTTTGATGCTGGTTTCCTCTACATCCTTTACCACATCTACGAAGGGTTCGACTTACCACGTTTGTTAAAGTGTTCAATGGATCCTTGCCCGAACATAGTGGACTGTTACGTATCCCGCCCCACAGAGAAGAAGATCTTCACTCTCTTCATGGTGGTGTCCTCTGCTGTCTGTATCTTGATGTGCATCTGTGAGATGTTTTACTTCATCTGCAAGAAAGTCAAGAAACAAATCAAGAGGAAAATAGATGCAGACAGGCAGGCGTCCGCAGAGACACACGAGCTGAAGCCACTGTCAGCAGCTTTTCCAAGGCACAAGTCTAGATCATCTTTGAGAGTGGATCCAACAGTGTCTAACCAGAACCTGAATAACATCAAGACAGAGGAGACACCAACTATGAAATAAGAATCATCTTGCTCGGGCTACTCTGAAAAACTAAATGAATAACTCTAGGTGCTACTGGAAGCAAATGCATCCTTCCGACGGCTTGCAGAACTGTTACTCAACGGCAAAGAAATACCCAGTGATTTGTAAATAAAACTTTGTTATATGATATTCTGCATGGAAATCGACAGCAAAATTGCAGATGAAAAGGAAGCTATTTTTGAGTAATGATGCTTTATATGTGTATGATGTGTGTGTCTGTATTCATGTTTTTATGTAACCTTTTATGGTTACTGCCTGTCAGTTAGGAAAAGCACATGCTGTAAGTAAACCCTTTATTCACCAAAGCATTACACACTGAGTCACTCACAAGTACTTTACAGTAGAGATACCCATATGATCCCGCCATATTTGTTCTGGCGTCATCCGTTTTTTCACGCTACCGTCCAATCAGAAGCAGAGGACACGGGTGCGGTTTTGATAGATAGGACAATGCACCAATGGTGAGCGGAAACCGGACGTCGTCATTTTTGCCCTTACGGACGCTGTCAAAAAGTAACGGCTTTCAACTACGGACAAGTATTGAATTCCCACATTTTATATTTTGTTTTTGTCTTCATAATAACATAGTAATGTTGTTTATTGAGTTTCTCTTTTATTGACCAATGTGACGTAACTAACAGCACCACAACTAGTTTCGGTTATTCATTTGTCTGCTGTGGTTAGCTAAGTGTTACACTGTAAACTGTTGCTATTCTTTAGCAACATTTCGGTTGGAAATAGCGAGTTAGTCAGTGTTTATTATTTTAATGTGGTCTTGCGGCTCAGGAATCAGAGGTGGGACCAAGTCGCTGTTTTGCAAGTCTCAAGTAAGTCTCAAGTCTTTATCCTCAAGTCACAAGTCAAGTCTCAAGTAATGTCAGGCAAGTCAGAGTCGAGTCTCAAGTCACTGGTGTAAAAGTCCGAGTAAAGTCACAAGTCTGAAATTTTGAATTTCAAGTCCTTTCGAGTCTTAAAAAAAAAACGAAAAAAGAATGTTGCAGTTATATGCTAAACTGTAAATATTAGACCATGTAATTTTAAAATCTGTGTTTTTCTCAACACATGACGAAATAGTGAACTTAGAAAATATACACAAATTGTGAAATTGCACCTCTATAAAATGCAGCTCAATTAAACTTAGTTCCAAGAATAATTTTCACCGACAGTTCTGAGATAAGCTGAATGTTATTATTGGATGCGCTTGTAGGGCCGGCTTTAAAATCGCATGACAGAAATATCATACACATTTAAAAAAACCTGTATCACCAACGGAGCATGGACAAGATTTGCTAGTTAGATGAAGTCAGCTATCTCATCATAGCAAAAGAGAAGCACCACCTACCGTTCTTTATGCAACTTCAACTGTCGGAGAAAGTTGAAGTTGTTCCATCTCTGTCTGTGATTCTCTTCTTGCATGTTTTGCATATTGCATTTCAGTTTTTTGTTGACTACTTCATAGTTTATGTACCTGAAAAAAATAACTCCTTGCAGCATTTTTGAGCGTTTTTTTTTTTTTTTAAATCTGGTTAATTTGATTGGCAGTGCTACAGCTCACGCACACATAGTACGGAGTGTGGTTTGAATAAATGAATCAATGAATTGAATTAATGGTGCACACTTTCTATATAATATGTATGTTAAATTTTATATTTGGGGTGAAATATCAATTCTTTTCAAGTAAACCGGTTCAAGTCCAATTCAAGTCTCAGGTCATTGGTGTAAAAGTCCAAGTCAAGTCACAATCTTAGAACATTTTTTCAAATCAAGTCTAAAGTCATTAAATTAATGACTCGAGTCCAAGTCATGTGACTCGAGTCCACACCTCTGTCAGGAATACGTAAATAGTATAGTTCACCTCGTTTGAAGTGATAGCAGTCATAGTGAGTTTCATCTGAAAGTAGAGGCAACTCATCACTGTTGCTAAAACACATAATTACAGCGTAAGTAAATTTTAACCTTAATTACCTACCATATAAAAGAAGTTGAGCTGTTTTATGTCAACAAACGAGGCAACACATTGTGTTGATCAACACATTGGAATACAATCTGGCTTATTTTGATTGAATTGTGGCATTGTGAAGCTGCTGTACGTCCAGTTTTTACTTAATTCATGAATCTTTTTTCTTGTATTAATTGATTACATCATCAAAAGGCTGGAATAAGCCATTAAACAGCCGGGTGAGGCAGAGAGTTGGGGGGGGGGATCCCACATGTTTGTGAACTCTCAGCTGTGTATCGTCTTTTGTTCTGTGGAAGGTATTTAAACCCAGGGCTGTGCCAGGCTTGGGAGAGGCTCTGCTGGTCATTTGCCCTGTGATGGCTGTTCTCACCAAGCTTGGTTTTGTTCTGTTCTTTATTAAAGGATGGTGGCTACCGCTCGCCATTTAGGATTTATTAAATGAAAACTTCCACAAGAGCTGGCAAAATCTTAATTTGCATACTTGAATTAAGATTAATTAAGATTAATTAACAAATTTCACACAATTTGTGTCTGGGCCAACACCTAAAGACCACACTCTAGACTTTGTCTTGGGTTATGGACTGAATGTATCAATGACTGAAACTTGTGTTTTATCTATTTTAGACCATTTAGGAATTGTATTTGATATTTTAATTCCTAAATCTCCAGCAAAACTGGGAAATTTGGGCACATTACCCCATTACTGAAATCTCTTCACTGGTTGCCTTGTGAAGTTTGAGCAGGTTATAAGGTCTTGTTGCTCATCTACAAGGCTTTAAATGGTTTGGCACCTTTGTATCTCTCTGACCTTTGGCACCTCTGTTCCATCCCAAGCTCTCTGATCTCAGGACACTGGCCTTCTAAAAGTTCCTAAAGCCAGAAAATAGACTATTTGGGAGCATGCTTTTTCTTTTCGTGCCCCATTTTGTGGAAGAACCTCGCTCAAGATATTAGGTAGGCAGTATGCTCTGTGAAGGTTTTTAAAGTCAAATTAAAGACTCACTTGTTTACTCTATCTTATGTGTCTTAATTCTATGCCTATCAGTTTTTAAATGTTATCAGTTTTTAAGTTGTATTGTTTTTTCTGCACTACTTTTATTTATGTATTTGTCTTTTTATCTTCAAAAAACTGTTCAGCACTTTGTTTGAAAGTGCTTTATAAATAAAGTTGTTATTATTATTACTATTATTAAGAGCCCAGTTGAGGGACTTTTGGGGAAGGAATGTTGTTCCTATTCCAATGTTTTATTTCATGCATTCCCTAATGGGGCTTTGGCACTCAATTAGTAGCTTTGTCATTTTGAAAATATGCTTTCACATTCTCAGCCAATTACGCATAATCTTTCAGTGCAGGGACATTAAGACTTTTCCATGCATCTATTGCTAGATGGTATGCAGACTATCCAAGCTGTGAGGATGTAAACTAACATTTCAGGATATACATATAAATGGTGCTTTCCAGCAGTGTTTATCCAGTGATTTGCTCATTTGGTTCAACTGTCCCATTTCTACAAGACTTTTTGCACTTTCTTGTGAGGAGTTAGGAAACAGGTTTCTCTTTAGCCTAAAATGTGTTCTGCCAGGTGTTCAGGAAGAAAAACATGAAGTGATATATTCATCTACTGTCTCAGTGAGATACATTTTCATTCTTGATACTCTTCTGGGTGTTCACCTGAATAATAAACTAGACTGGAGCCACAACACTGATGAACTTTACAGGAAGGGTCAGAGCAGACTCGACCTGCTGAGGCGGCTGAGGTCATTTGGAGTCCAGGGAGCGCTTTTAAAGACCTATGACTCTGTGGTGGCATCCGTCATTTTTTACAGTGTGGTATGTTGGAGCAGCAGTTTATCGGCAGCTGAGAGGAAGAGGTTGGATAAACTCATCAGGAAGGTCAGCTCTGTTCTGGGATGCACCCTGGACCCAGTACAGGTGGTTGAGGACAGAAGGACTCTGCCAAAATAACATCTCTGATGGACAGAGTCTCCCACCCCATGCATGTAAATGTTGCTTAACTGCAGAGCTCCTTCAGTGACAGACTGCTGCATCCTCGATGCATGAAGGAGCGTTTCCGCAGGTCCTTCCTCCCTGCAGCTGTCAGACTATACAATCAAAACCGCTCCCAACAAACATAGATGTTTACATCTGCGCTGTAACTGCAATAATTTAATCAACCGATTTGCACTACAACCTGGTTTGCCTCTTATCTGTAGTTATTTTTATTTAATTTAATAACTGTACAGTACTCTGTTTATAGTAAACATTGTCCATATGTAAATATGTATGAAACATTGTGTATGTTTCTGTTCTGTGTCCTGTGTACTGTTTGTTTGTATATGTGTCTTTCTGGCTACTGTTACAACCAAATTTCCCCTTGTGGGACAATTACAGGATTATTCTATTCTATTCTAAAACACCTGCATTTTTAGCAAAATCTCTCTGAAATTGATGTTCACCCTGCTAAAATTTAATCTCCCTCTCCTAAACATTGAGAGTTTAGAAAACAGTTCTTTATGCATCTCTAATCAGACAAAACTGTTTTTAGAGGTTTGTTCATAGTGTTTAAATGAGCATAAAATGTCCTCTTTACTTTTTACCAGGACGTCAGCAAGACAGAAAATGACTCTTTATGCTTTCCTTCTTCTTCTTTTTATACAGTAATAGCTCGTCATAGTTTCCTTGGTGACAAGTAACATGGTAACCTTGTATATTAGAATGAGTACTTGGTATTATGAGTAGTTGTGCATGGGCAGCATTAACATGCTCGTGTGCCATTAAAGGAGAAAACTGTCTTCAAATGTAAGGGAATTAGCTAAAATGGCACGTTTCAGACAGTGGAGGAAGTGAGGGATGCACAATTGACCAGTGTAAGAGAGAAAGGATCAAGGAAAGCTACTTTATTGGAGTCCACAAATACAGAATATAGAACTATAAATAAGCACACCAGACCCGCACTGAAATTGGATGCCTGAAACTATCTAAATTTAAGTATTTACAGTTAATGCTTATTTTGTAAAACAAAATTCATTTAGGCCAAGAATGTATTAGTCAAATGTCTTGTGTAAAGAAATGGTGTATTTCCTCATACTGCATGGGTAGTTTATTTAATCCAAATCCAGGACCAGTTTTCCTAAAGGGTTTTGTAAACGACAACCCACCGAGCACCCACCAAGAGTCCCAAGTGTCCAAGTTCAACGTTTTGCGGG